ACAGTGCGGGGGTGGTGACAAGTGGGGAGTGATATAGGGGCTGGGGGTGGGGACGGGGGAGGGTGGTGTAGTGCAGGGTGGGACGGGTGGGGGAGTGGTGACAGTGCTGCTGGTGTGACTGGTGGAGGATGGTGATGACTGGTTAGGGGGAGTGGTGACAGTGCTGGTGGTGGGACAGAGTGAGGAGTGATGAATGCTGGTGGTAGTGACTGGGTGGAGGGATGGTGACAGTGCTGGTGGTGGTGACTGGGTGAGGAGGGGTGATAGCTGATGGGTGACTGGTGAGGGAGTGGACAGTGTGCTGGGGGTGACTGGGTGGGGGGAGCGGTGATAGTGCTGGTGGGTGGTGACTGGTGGGGGAGTGGTGATAGTGCTGGTGTGATGACTGGGTGGAGGGATGGTGAGAGTGCTGGTGTGGTGACTGGTGGAGGGAGTGGTGACAGTGCTGGTGGTGGTGACTGGGTGGAGGGAGTGGTGACAGTGCTGTTGGTGATAACTGGTGGGGGAGTGGTGACAGTGCTGGTGTTGATGACGGGTTGGGGGGAGTGGACAGTGCTGGTGGTGGTGACTGGGTGGAGGGAGTGGTGACAGTGCTGTTGGTGATGACTGGGGGGAGGGAGTGGTGACAGTGCTGGTGGTGATGACTGGTGGAGGGAGTGGTGACAGTGCTGGTGGTGATGACTGGTGGGGGGAAATGGTGACAGTGCGGTGTGGTGACTTTGGAGGGTGGTAAATATGCTGGTGGGGGTGACTGGGTGGAAGGAGTGGTGATAGTGCTGGTGGTGGTGACGGGGTGGAGGGAGTGGTGATCTCAGTATAGTACCAGTTCCTAGTAACCAGTTACCATACATGTACCAGTAGATGACTCACTACCAACTGTCTGTGTGAATCATTGTCTGTATTCAATTGCTGCTGACCATAGCAGGATTTCAAACACCCTCACCCTGTATGTGTGTAAAGTCGAAGATAGGGAGCAGAGAGAGGCAGGTCGGCTGTTGGCGCTTTCCATACTTCCCGTTATATTTTTTAACGTACTACCATACTACACCTACGTGAATATTTTTACCCATCCATGTTATCAAAAACCCACTTGACAAATGGTGGCACCGTGTGGGCGTGGTTTTTAAGGGTTTTTTCAGACTTTTAGAAGACTTTTTGGGTGGGTTGCCGGCGGGTCAAGGTGAACCGTCTCAGCCACCTCCAGCTAGCAGCTTACCCTCACCACACCACCCTGTGTACTCCAGCCTGCAAGCCATTTTGCAGCCACTTTTCAAGCTTCCTGGCTTAGTTCATGTGCTAATTGCTTCAATCTTCGAGGGGTTGACCCGATTTTGCAATTAAGCCAGTCAATAAGCCAGACTGTAGAAGTGAATGCTATCAGCCTGCCTCAGCCTTCATCCGCCTGTCTCCTGTCGTCCACCTGCTCCTTCATGCGTGTGCATCTTTACACATCTTCCAGTCAGCCATTCTCCGGGGTTAAGCCTGTCACCAGCCCAGCTTCCTAACCCAGCTGAGAGAGAGAAGTAAGCCACGCAAGTTCCCTGAAGTATTGTCTCATATATTGTTTGTGCTTGAATGCGGGTAAAAATGGTCTTAAATCATCCATGGGGCATTGTGATTGGTTAACCCACCTTTGTGTGGTGAAAGTGCGTGGCAGTGAGAGCCCACAGGGCCACTTGTTCCACTGCCCCCACCACCACAACCACCACCACCACCCGCCACCTGCTCCAGAAGATCTTATTCGGGACTGTGAAGCCACCAGCACCCATCAGTGACTTTGTCATGAAACCAAGAATTACTGTATCGAACAGCCGAGTTGG